GGCAACCTATTGGGATATTCATATGTTAATATCTTCTACTTACTGTTGATTTCTGTAATGTTGACACGACAAAACAGCTTACTGTGTACTAAAAAAAAAGCACCGTGTCGTTTTAGTACCAATGTATAAAATGCCTCTCAAAGTGCCGCGCTTCCATCTGCAAGAGTCCTTGGCTTAGAGCTCAGTGGCAATTTCACACCGCAATTTTGAGTCATTTAATTGAGGAATAGAATAATCTTTGGCCTATAGCTTTCATATCAAAGAAGTAGAATGAAATTGCCATCATGTTGTGTGGGAAGATCAGGTGAAAGTCTTCACAATATTCAGTAGCTCCAGATATAACGAGAGGTAAGGTAAGGTAAGGTAAGGCCTGAAATTGGCCGATTGTGTGTAGCATTAAAAAAAATCAATCACATTAAGACTGCTTTACGACGAAAATTAATCTAAATGAGATGAACCAGAGTAAATTTTTAAACCCTAGGTAGATTTTTTGTTATTTATATCACTGAAATAGAATACGTAAAATTTGCATTTTTGAGTAAATTTATTTTTATTTATACAGCAACGTTTCATTACTCGTATTTTATTAATTGCGGTGTGTCCAGAAGCAACACCACGTTAACAAATAAACTGGCTGACCTCCAACCAGCATTCAAAAACGAATATCTCGATGGAGGTAATACGATAAATAAGAGAGCAAGGTGCATAAATTTAAGTATGGTAAAAGAAGGAAATTGTGGCGTGAATTTCGTTTTCTGTTTCGAAATTTGTTTACGATTGATTTTAAAGATGCCTTCGGCACGGCTTTTCAAACAAAGCAACTTTTGCATTAAAAGTAACAGCGATGCCTTATCTCGTGTATTAAAGCAGTTATTACTTTTCAATTAAGCTAAGTTATTACCAAAGATCAGTACTTGAACTTAAGTTGAGACGTTTTACCTAATCTAATATCTTCCGGGATAAAAGGGAATTTTGAGCTGCTTTGTTAGATTCGCATGCGTAAAGAATTTTGACCATCCTGGTCTATAAAAAATGTGTATATTTTATTCTTGTACTTAGAAGAAGGATT